TTCTTTTTAACTGAAGGTATACGTCATTGACTAAATGTAATAAATTTGCACATTCGTAAAAATGTAACAAATGTGCCTTTTAGGAGACATTCAAAAAATACAATTTAATAACCAAAAGCAGTAATTGCTAAAAAGAAATACTAATTTATGCTTTTCTGTTTTCATGTTCCCCATTTTACCAACAATTCCAGCTTTTATTATCTCAGCTCTTGCCTTGGTACAGTTCCCCCTCCCCCACAAATGGCAACCTCCTAATTTAATGCCATTTTTAAAATTACTTTTAAAAAACCTCCACCTACAAGCTGTAGTTGCTTAATCAACTGTGGCAGGAGGGGGGGGATTTGAACCTTCAGTGCTGCATGTTATGATAGATTTCTGGTGCTGACTCATAAGTTCTGATGTTTATATAGACAAACTGCATTGCCTGCATGTAAGAATCAGCTAGGCCTGAAGCTTGCAGAAGTACCCCCAAAAAGGGTGGGGATAAATGACCCTAATGGAGTGAGAGGAAAACATCTGCAAGGCAGCCCAATTCGGAATGAGCATGCTCAGTGGGCCCAGAATGCTAATTGTTAAGAATAAAAACAGAAAAACAGGAAGGTGGAAGAATGTAACAGAGTAGCTCAACGGAGGGCATGACAGGCTGACTGGCACTGTAAACAAGAAACAAGAAATGTTGCCATATTTTCTTGCAAGTCCCACTTCTTTCATACATTCCTGAACTTGCTGCCCATGAAGCTATTCTTGAATTTGTAACTGGTGATCTCATGAGGCAGGGCGGTTCTTTGGTAAGAGGCATTGCCTAAGAAACCTAAGCCCCACCCCCTCCACCAATCCAGCGCCTTGAATCGCGCTTGGCAACCTACTGGAAATCCTGGGTATGTTTAGAAGCCAGGGCTGGGTATGTTTATGCGGCGCCAGGGTGCAAAGATCCGCCTGGTGCCCCCCCCCCAGGTTGCCCAGTCCCAGGTGTGCAGGAGGGTGGAGCTGGCCGGCCGGCCGCCTCAGAGTCTTGCTGGCTCCGTCGCCCCCGAACTCGCGGCACAGAGCTGCCCGCAGCAGAAGAGCCTGCCGTGGTGCTCCGACCGACAGGTGGGCTCTTCCGTGGACTCAACTCTTGGGACCTGGACTCTCGGCCTGGCGCCCCTGAGAGCCCGGCACCTGGGTGCCCCACACCCCTAGTGCCTATGGGTAAGACGGCCCTGTTAGAAGCACATGTGGAGGTATGCTGGTTCATGCGAAATTTACCCTGCCTGTTAAAAGTGAACAGCTTGGCAGGGTGACATCCCTGGTTGATTCAGTGGAGCGAATGCCGTCTTCACCTACTTTACCAGTGGCTCCGACTAATTCTAACTGACAAGACCATCTCTTTGTTGAGAGATAGGCCAAGGGGCTCTTGCTGAGAGCAGCCTGTGACCTTTCCTTGTCACATTAACACTCCTCGCCGTAATCAGTCAGGCGAACGGGACTGAAATTATCCCACCGTGGCACACTGGGCCAATTTATAATCTCCTTGTAGGAGTGTTTGCGATAAGGCAGCTAAGGAGCAAAGCAATAAATACTAGTAAATAGCAACATGCTCACCAAATGGTGAAAAGGTAGTCTAGAGGTGGGTGAGTCCTTGAAAAATGAGAAGCGTTCGTCTGCCCCAGGCCTAGCAGAGTGTGTCCTTGCCCTCATAGTCCAGCGCTCAGCTGTTTCCCCAGACAGTAGCTGTGGCAAGATGGCTACTTGTGCACTGCCAAATAACAGGAAATGCATTGCCAGCAAGGAGAACAAAGGGGGTGTGCATTTGCATAAAAATTTGCATGTGTTAATGTATATGCAGCTTTCAGACGTCTCTCTCTTCCATGCCAGTAAAGACACTGGGCAATCAGACAGTCTCTCAAGCAGCTGGGATCTTATTATAGATCTGTGGTGAGGAACCTCTGGCCCACAGGCTTAGTTCGGCCTCCTGGGCCTAGAAGGTTGGCCCACCAGGCTATTTTTGTGAGCCATGCCCACCTTTCCCATGCCTGTTTTAGCTGCAGCTGCTGCGAGGAAAGAATCGGGCAGGGTCAGCGCATCACATTTCCCTGCTTGAGGCGGAACAAAGTGCCATCCCACTGCGCCATCTCTGCCACCAGCGGAGGCATCAGAGGTGGGCATGAAGCTGCTTCGGGGTTTCCGCTGACCAAGGTGGCAGCTTCACCCTGCCTCATGCATGGGCTGGGCCAGGAATTGAGAGTGCACTTGTAGCCAGAGACTGAAGTTACGTTCACCTGGTGTCTTATGTCTGCCCACCTGTCAAAGGGGCTTGTGGAAGGTTACCAAGGTCTAGTCCTCCACTCCAGTTATAGCTAGAAGATACCATACTGTAAACATGTAAGCATATAGGGTTGGATCCAGATCTAGTCATTCTTTTAAGGCTGTGGAAACTAGAGGTGCCATCAGGGCCCCCAAACACAGCAGGGCTGTGCATGACGTGTATGAAGGAAGTGCATGAAAGAGTCCCTATCTCCCCATGAAACATTAAGTCCAGAGACTAAAATCACCCACCTGTCCCATTGCTGCTATCCTAGTTCCACTCTGTGTCAAAGAGCAGTGGAGTGCCACCATCTGGGTTGGCACAGGGCTGCTTTGTCCTAATGCAGGGGCCGGGAACCTTTGGCCCACAGGCCTCCCTATTTGGCCCACAAGGCCATTTTGGCCAGGCTGCACCCACCTGTCCTACACCTGACATCAGGGGCAAGTTCGGATGCAGTCAGGCCAAAGGGGGTGGTGCTGTGCAAGCACTGTTGATCAGCTGATGGGTGGCACCTACAAGTGCCAACAACAAGCTGATTGCAAAGCCCTGACATAGGGACATAGGAAGCTGCCTTATATGGAGTCAAGCCTATTGGTCCATCTTCCTCAGTACTGTCCATGCCAGCTGGCAGTGGCTTTCTAGGGTTTCAGACAGGAAGTCTCTCCCAGCCGTACCTGGAAATGCTGGGGATTGAACCTGGTTCCTTCTGCAAGCCAAGCAGGTGCTGTGCCCCTGAGCAATGTCCCCGACAACAGCTCCAGCCTGATGTATTCTGGAATCAACAGCACCAGGGATGAGTCAATGACTTCAGCAACAGCAGCTAGCTGTCAAGTTGTAAAAAGATGGTGACGTTGCAAGCTAACTGTCAAGGAAATCGGAACGCTTTTTCCTAGAGTTTCCTTAAAGGTAAACTGCTCCATCAGATTCTTTCTATCTCTTACCCTGCACTGAGGTGGGAATAAGACTGACTCTCCTAATCAATTCAAAAGTACCCTATGATGATTAAAAAATAACTATGAAGCTCAAGTCATGCTCCGTATGTGAAGAGCTCTGCTGGGTCAAGGCCAAAGGCCCATCCAGTCCAGCGTCCTGCTTTCACACTGGGAAACCAGATGCATTTGGGAAGGCCACAAGCAGGACTTATGTCCTTTCTCTACATGATTCCCAGCAAATGATATTCAGAAGCCCTTCAACACTGCCTTCCACAGTGGAGGGAGAACATCACCATCACGACTAGCAGCCACTGATAGCCTTAATCTCACTGAATGTGTATTATCCCAACTGGGAAGGTCCATTGCTCAGTGGCCGAGCATGCTGGTCCAAGGCCCAATCCTCAATTTGGGGGGGGCAGCTAGGAGAGAATCCTGTCTGAAATTCTGGAGAGCCACTGTCAACAGAGTGGCCAATATTGAGATAGATGGACCAATGGTCTGGCTCAGTATAAAATAGCATCCTTTGCTCTTTTGTTCCTCTTTTAAAGTCATCCAAGTTGGTTTCCATCACTACATCTTGTGGGAGCAAATTCCATAGTTTATCTATGCACTGTATGTGAAGAAGTACCTTATTGTCTGTCCTGAATCTTCCAAAATTCAGCTGAGTTTGAGAATTATGAGTGGGGGAGAAAATTGAGCTGTAAAAGCTCAGGCTGCCATCCTATGCACAGACTCCCCTTGCTTGGACACAGTGGGACTTACTTCTGAGTAAACTCGCAGGGGATTGCACTGGCATCTGAGAAACACGACTGTGTGTGTGCAAGGCAACTTGTATTCTCTCATTCTGGGGTCAATCTGCAGCAGCAGGACAGGTACAAATCAAGGGCCAGCCTTCCTTCCTCTCCTGCAGCTTCCCCAAAATCGAGTGCCCTCCAGCTGCTTTGAACTACAACTACCATCAACCCCAATGCTTGCTAGGACTGATGGGAGTTGGAGTCCTAAACAGTTGCTGGGCACCAGGGTGAAACAGTTATATATTCTTAACCTGGTTTGCATCTTGTGATCTGTCTATGCTGACTAAAGACTTCTAGTCACCTTATAAATATGAAATGGTGATTAAGACATGATTTCATCAGCCTTTTAAAGTTACCTCATTCTCAGTTATTGCAATTATAATGAAATTAAGGGAATATCGGAAATAATATCTGGTATGAATGGTTAAGTGGCAGAATTCCTAACATGTTGTTGTTTAGAAGCTGTTTGTCATGGAATTCGACACACTTGTTGCATCCTTAGATTTTATACTTGTTTTCCAATTTAAAAAAACAAAAAAATATTGTCATTTATATCTGCTTGCCAATGTGCTCTGTGCAGTTAAATATAGCAACAAAAAAATTACAGAGTTGCAAGGGACCTCGTAGGTACCTTCTCTGTCTGCCAAACAACCTCTGTAACTCAGAAAGCTTGTATATTCAATAATAATAATAATAATAATAATAATAATTCGTTGCTGCTTGCTGCCGGCTTATGGTTGGGCATATGCTTCTTTCGATCCATTTTTTAAAAATAGCAGGGACGATCCCCAATTCCGCTGGGGGTAAAAACGCCGGTGACTCACCCAGCTCCCGTCTGGCACCTCTGCGCGCCCCCTCCGGGCCGTGGGGGGCGGGGAGGAGACGCCGCGCTGGAATTCTAATTCAGAACCTGGTTGGGTTCTAGCTCGTGGCGACGTCACCAGCGGGGCGGGGCTGAGCTCTCGGGAGCTGCATAAATGGGCGCCAAGAAGCCCCGAAAGGGAGCAGAAGCGGAGCATCGCTCAGTGCTGGGAAGGACTGAGGGGACGCAGCGGCAAGTGGGGACAAGGAGCACGAGAGAAAGGCGCTTTTCCGGACCCAGTTCCTTTAGCTACATCATTTCCAAGGTAAGTCGACTGGCTGTTAAGGCGGGGTAACTTTTGGCGTTGGGGGGGGGAATCGGGGGGCGGTTGTTCGACAGCAGAGTCCCGCGGCATTTGGCCAGAGGATGGGGGGGAGGGGGGCATCCCGCGATCAGGCTCACCAGGATCTTTCGGAAGGGGTCGAGCGAGGACTTGGTGGGGGCGGAATCGGCTTTGCTGCCTCTGTCCCGAACTGGACATGGCAGAGACTCCCACCCAGTTGTGCGTTCGAGAGACGAGCACACCATGCAGTTGCGAGAGTCGTGGAAGAGCTTCTTTCTCCTCGTTTCTTTGCTCTGCGTCTCTATCATGCATGGATCGGTAACTGCTCCGGATTAGGGATGGAACCCCGCGAGGAACTGCTTGATCAGGAGCAGGGAGGGGCGTTCATTCTCCTGTGGATAAGGAGCGCTTGCAGGATCAGGCTAACATGGCCCGTCTAGTCCAGCATCCTGATCTCAAAGTGGCCAGCCAGACACCTCTGGGAAGCCCGCAAGGAGGGCAGGAGCGCAGCCCTTCTCTCGCCCCCTTCCAGCATTGAGGCATCGCCTCGGGCCCCCGACGGCGAGGCGGAACATAGCCGTCGTGACTAGTAGCCCTTGATATCCTTTGGGGGAGAGCGCGCGCGAGAAGTCGCTTCTTTCACTCTCTCTCAACGCATTGTTCGCGACTGTGAGTGTGTGGATTTGGAGTGTCTCGCTTACTCCGGATTGAGTTCGGAGCGAGAGAGAGTGTTGCTGTGATGTCCGCCCCTGCCTCTTTTCTGTTAAAAGCGTGCCTCTCACCCAGTGTGGAAGGGAGGCGCACCGTAGCCAAGAAGGGGTGCGGGCGCGCGCTTATTCCGGATTAGTGCAAGTGCCGTGTAAACGCCCTGAAACGTCTTTTCCCCGACCTCTCCCCAGGCGCCCCCATGACCCTGAACCGCGGCGACAAGCTGAGGTACCTGGACAAGCGGCGGGGCAGCACGCCCTTCGCGGCGCACCACCTGCAGCAGCAGCACCTGCACCGGCGCAGCATGCCCGTGGACGAGCGCGAGCTGCAGGCGTCGCTGCCGCCGTCCCCTCGAGGCGAGCTCTCGCAGCTGATGCGCTGCACCTCCTACAGCCCCGCCGACGACGACGAGGCGCACCGCCAGGGCTGGGCGTCCGACTCCTCCGACTCCGTCATCTCCTCCGGGAGCGACTCGGACAGCAACCTCTACAAAGTCATTCTGCTGGGCGAGCACGGCGTGGGCAAGACCAGCCTGGCCAGGATCTTCGGAGGGGTGGAGGACTGCCCGGATGCCGAGGAGGCTGGTGAGTGCGGCGGAAAGGGGCAGACTCCGGGGTGGGGCGCAGCGTGGTGCAATGGTTAGAGTCCTGGACTAGGACCCAGGAGAGCAGGGTTCAAATCTCCACTCAGCCATGGAGCTCCCCGGGTCACCTTGGGCCAGCCTCACCTACCTCACAGGGTTGTTGTGATGACAAAGTCAAAAGTGACTGGAGAATCCTGTGTGCCACGTCCAGCTCGTTGGGGAAAAGGCAGGATAGAAATGGATTAACGATAAATAAATTCAAAAGGTAGCAGGAGATCTGCTGGGGAAATGGATCTGCAGAGGGCTGTATTCCTGAGCAATGTATGGATCAGTCCACCACCGCCTGTCCACGAATCAAGGAACACAGGAAGCTGCTTTATACTGAGCCTGACCATAGGTCCACCTACTGGGTTATTATTGTCCACACTGACTGACAGCAGCTCTCCAGGGTTTTCATGCAGTCTTCCCCAGCCCTCCCAGGAGATGCTGAGCATCAATGCTGGGATGGAACTTCCTCAAAGAATTAGGAGCATGGGGAATGGCAGCATACGGAATCATCAGAGCTATAGGTCCATTTAGCTCAGTATTGTCTGCACTGACTGGCAGTGCTTCCCGAGAGTTTCAGATAGGGAGTCTCTCCCAGCCGTACCAGGAGAGGCCAGAGACTGAACCTGGGAGTTTCTGCGTGCAGAGCCCTCCTGGATCAGTCCAGTAGTCCACGGAGCTCAGCATCCTTTTCCCCACAGTGGCTAACCAGATTGTGCCTCTGGAAAGCCCACAAGCTGATAGGCTTTCTTCATTCATCATGATTTTTTTATTGTCTCTCTTTAAAGCCATCTCGGCTGGTGGCCACTTCCCCTTTTGTAGTAGCAAATTCCTCATGGTAACACTGTACTATGTGTGGGGGTGGATTAAGATCTTTACAGACCCAAAGCACTGCAAAGATTATGGTTCCCCCAGTAATTCAGGAGAAAAAGAGTATTAAACTGCAAAATAAAATAATAAATGTTTTTCAAAATGACACAAAGTTTACAAGTATGCTGAAATGTTCATATATCTGTGTCATGTGAAACACCTGATCTTAGTCCCTTGCCTTATTTTGATATGCACCCGTGGGGTTTCTCCCTGGTTTAGTTGGGGAGAAGTAATAAAAAGAGAACAGAAAAACGGGGGAAGCATGTGTAGTGTAAAGAATTCAATTGTCAAATTTCAATTGTCAAATTTCTGTCCCCACCTCATTCTCTTCGTGTGCAAAACAGAGCTGCGTTCAGGCCAACTCTGTTTCATTTGACAACACAGAACTCTAGCATTGACAACATCAGACGTCCGTACAATACTTGTGGGCTTCCCTAGCAATGGTGCTGAGGACACCGAAGGGGCACAGTTTCTAGGAAGCTTTGACCCCCCCCCCTAAGATTTTATGATATTTCAGTTCCCTTCAACCCTGACCATTGGCCATGCTGGCTGTGGCTGATGGCAGTTGAAGGCCAGCAACTTTAGGAGGGTCACTGATCCCCCATGCCTGCTGTAGAATAAGTTAAAATGATTCTTTGGTGGGGAGGGGGAACTTGTTGGAGAATATTCAGGGGGTTGGATTAGTGTATAAGTACTTGGAAAGTAACTTGGAATTACGGTACTTAGAAAGTTTTGTATTAAAATTGTTGCCTTTTAGAAATTTATTTTTATTAGTTTTCAAATTATTATGGAACCACAGAGACAAGTAACCAACCAAACCAAAATACTGTATCCAGCTAAAGACAAAACATACAAAACCTAAGCATATTAACTAACAACACCCAGTCTAAAATAATGACAACCGTATTTCTCTGAATGGCATGGACAGAGATGCTTGTAAACCTGAAATTAAACTATAGGAAATAAAATCCCACTATACTGAAGAGAAATGATCTGGATCTTCCTGTCCCTTGAGTGTTATTTTTGTTCTGCATTGACTAAATTCCAGAGGTCCTTTTAAATTAATACCATAAGGATATAGTCAGATTAAAAAAAAATAATCACACCTGTGGATATGGCAGATGTGTCTGTTGTTTGACTGAAAAAAGTGGATTGAAGGAAGCTCAAATTCTGCCTGCTGCATTTTGTTATTTGAAAAATATGCCTTGTGTGTGTTTTATCTTCCATACTTTGGTTGTTGTTGCTTGAATAGTTGAATGGCCACCTCCACCACTTCTTCCCAATCAAACCTGAATAAAGCAAAATAAATGTTAAAGCATGGCTTGCATTGCATTCATTCCATGTCCTTTTCCTATCAAGTGCTGTGCTGGAACTGTTTGTACAACAATAAATTTAGAAGGGATGATAATTGGAAGCAGTACAAGGATGGCAGAGGCTGCTTTGTTTATGCACCAGATAAGGAGTTGTATCACCATCTAGTTTGTTCAGGTGCTTAAGCTTAACTGCACAGTTAAGCTGCTGTTTTATATTTCAGCTGATTTGGCACCTCAGTCTTAAAACACATCTGCTTTTACTAGAGTCCCAGGATTTTCAAATGGAGCTAGATTCCCAAATCATACCACCCTATGGCTACTCTCCTGATAGTCTTACTTTGCAGTAAACATGCGTAATGTTGCACTAGATGTAATATTAAGCATGTTTACTGAAAATCATGTTAAGAGTTACAGTCCCGTGGAGTTGTCTTTACTGGATTTTGGATCTGACTCTCTGATGATCTTAATGCAACAAACATCTTACAATAAACATTTTGTGGTCCCTTCCAACTCTACAATTCTATGAATCTTGAGGATTATGTTATCCTAATGTCTTTTTAATTTCCTTTATAGGCAACACATATGACAGATCTATCATAGTTGATGGTGAGGAAGCTTCTCTGGTGGTGTTCGACATTTGGGAGCAGGTAAGGCATTATTTACTTTAAATGTTACATAGATTCAGTGCTTTTTTCTGGGGGGGACGCAGGGGGGCGCATACCCCTAAACATTTTGTGAATCTAAGTTTGGCCTCATTGAGGGGCAGTATTTCAATATGAGTAGGAAAATGAGAGTACCCCTAAACATTTTTGAAGAAAAAAAGCACTGCATAGATTTGTATCCCATTTTGTGGCCCAAACTATTTTCATGTGTTCTAGTGCTTGCTTGCAACAAGTTAAGCAGCATTCTGTCTAAATTAGTAATATCTTTAAACAGATAACCAGTTCATAAAGCAGTAAAGCACAAAGATCTGGATGTAGCAAACTTAAGTCTGTCTGTACACTACTGTATATCTTTAAAGCACATTCAAAACACACTTTCTCTCAACAAATTATGGGCACTGTAGTTTATCCCTCAGAGTTACAATTCCCAGCAACCAATAGCAAACTACAGTGTCCAGAATTATTTGGGGAGGGAATATGTTTTGAATGTACTTTAAAAGCACAGTGTGTACCCTGCCATACCACAGTACTATAAATGCTTGCATTGCTGTGCTTTCTTACCCCTTCTTGGTCCCTTCCATATCTTGCTCCAGTGCAGGTCTGGGGAATCTTTGAGCTGCTGCATATTGCTGAACTATAACACCATCACCATTGGCTATGTTTGCTGGGGCTGATGGGAGTTGTAGTTCAGCAACATACAGAGGGCCAAAAACTCTCCACCCATATTCTTCTGGCTTGTTCTTTAAATCCAAGTAACCATTCTTACTTAGAGCTTTAACATGATAGCATATGCAGGGGTCAGCAACCTTTTTCAGCCATGGGCTCGTCCACCGTCCCTCAGACCATGTGGGGGGCCAGACTATATTTTGGAAAAAAAAATGAACGAATTCCTATGCCCCACAAATAACCCAGAGATGCATTTTAAATAAAAGCACACATTTTACTCATGTAAAAACACCAGGCAGGCCCCCACAAATATTCCAGCGATGCATTTTAAATAAAAGGACACATTCTACTCATGTAAAAACATGCTGACTCCCAGACTGTCCGCAGGCTGGATTGAGAAGGCAATTGGGCTGCATCCGGTCCCCAGGCCTTAGGTTGCCTACCCCTGGCATATAGCCACCTTGGTTTGGTCTAGGTTCATATATACCAGGCAGATATAGGAGTGCCCTTTTGTGGGGATTTTTCTGGAAGAAGTTTAATTTTTAAAAAGTGTTTTGATTGTACAATATCCATTTCCCCGGCCATGAGGTCTAGTGGCTTACTTTAAAAATTCGACCCACAGTGGGATGATTCCTCCCCCAACTCAAGTTGCTAAAATAGTTACCAAGTAAAAAATGTCTAACCTAATGTTTACTTTGTTCAGTACAAACCTATTTTTGTTCTATTCCTATTTTTGACTGTAGGATGATAGTCAATGGCTCCAGAACCACTGTATGAAAATGGGGGACGCTTACATTATCGTCTACTCAGTGACGGACAAAGTTAGCTTTGAGAAGGCCTCTGAGCTGAGAATTCAGCTACGAAGAGCGAGACAAACAGAGGACATTCCGATAATTCTTGTAGGAAACAAAAGTGACCTGGTCCGATCACGAGAAGTTTCCGTAGATGGTAAGTTACCTTCTCCTAATATAAACTCAAGTGTTGGGCACTTTGCTGTTGGGAGTTGGTGGGGTTCTAACAGTGATTCTTGGGAAGAGTTTCCTAAATCGTTGCGCTCACCAAGAATTCAACCTGCACTGCTGCACAGAGGTGGGGGGCAGAATGCAGGAGATGTGAAAGCCCCAACACTGCGTTTGTGGGGGCTGGTTTCACATATGCATGTTTACTGTTTGATTGCAAGATACAAGTGATGACTTCCATGTGCCAATGGACCACTGTAGATCTAATCCCAAGCAGGATCCCTGAAAACATAGCAATATATAGCAAATAAAGCAATATATATATAGGAAATGGAGCCGGTTCACATACTGTGGTGCCAGTCCAGTGTAAAGAAGTCAAATGATCCTTGTGTTTGTGTGTGAACCAGCCATTTGTCACTGAAGTAAGTTGTCTAAACCTAGGCACTGTAATCCTGGCAGCCTGACCCTATAGAGGTTGGCTACAAGTTTGAATATACTGACTCAGTCCGTTGGTCCATCTAGCTCAGTACAATCTACACTGAATGGCAGAGGCTCTCAATATTTCAGATGGGGGACATCCCCAACCCTATATGGAGATGTCAGGGATTGAACATGGGACCTTCTGCATGCAAAGCAAATGCTCTATCACTACACTACAGACCATACCCATATATCTAACCAAGCAGATTCCTGAAACACTACAAGACATGCTTACCAATATTGAGCTAGCTGGCTAAATTGTCTGATTCGGTATAAGGCAGTTTCCTATGTATGTATGTGCCCACACTTGCACCAACATTTGACACTTGAGATAAGTGTTTCTAGTATCTTATTCCTGTGAGTGACTGTAATTTGTTTTAACTGTTTTTAATATTGAATTTTAATTTGCCATAACCTGCTACTGGTGGATAACAAATTGAATAATGATAATCTCCCACCCTATGATTTTCAACCCTTGTATAATCTCTTTCCACTAATATTTGGGAGGAGAGCATGTGCTCTGCTGGCACATCATAGTTTTAAATAATTCGGTGTCCTCCTTCTGCCCTCCAGAGGGACGTGCCTGTGCTGTTGTGTTTGACTGCAAATTCATCGAGACTTCAGCTGCTTTGCATCACAACGTCAAGGACCTGTTTGAGGGGATCATCCGGCAAATCCGGCTACGCAAAGACAGCAAAGAAGACAATGCCAGGCGGATGGCTAACACCAAAAGGCGGGAGAGCATCAGCAAGAAGGCCAAGCGATTCCTTGGGAGAATTGTAGCCAAGAATAACAAGAAGATGGCATTCAAGGCCAAATCCAAATCCTGCCACGACTTGTCAGTCCTTTAAAAAATGGCTTTCAGCAGGACCAGATGCTGTGTGTGTTTAGCGTGGGTTGTGAACATGCCTTTGACTGTTGAAAGTGTGTGTGGGGGAAAGGACTTTGAAAACACAAAGCTGCACAGTTGGGAGGAAAAATATGCTCCTTGATGCCTTACAGTTCCGAAGCCAGACTTGGAAGTAAGAATACTGTGTCTTCATGGGTAAAACGGTTTATAAGCTTCAGTGTGTGCAAGCTACTGAACTAATTTTCATTCAGCGGCTTTGTATGCCTGCATTCTCACTGTGTATATTTGCCAGCTGTCCTGTGGACATCAGGGATGCAAAGATAAGAATGGACAATGGTACACACACACAAAATGCAAAATGTATCACCATCAACTTGTCTCCTTTGCAGAGCAAAACTTGAATACATGTACGCAGGCTCGTACACTCTTCTCTTTGGTAAATATATTAAAAAGCAATGATCTTTTAAAAACTAAATGTGGGCTGGTAAAAGGCCATTCAAAGCGCATTTGGATGAGTGAAAGGAAAAAAATGCAGAATAAATATAGTTTTTTGAAGTTTTAATTTGCACTTTCATTAAGTGTTTAATTTGTTAAATTGTTTACATGCAGATTTTATAATAAAGTATTTCTGGTTATAATCCGTTATCACATTTCTTTTTTCTTATTGTAAAGGCATTGGGAGAGCTAGTGGTATTTTAAAAGTGTCCAAAAAGCATATAATAGCGTTCGAAGTTTGCAGATTTTTTTTTAATTAATAACCAAACAGAGAACAGCAGACCAAGTGAGTCCAAATCTTTATGCAGTAACTTGCCCCCTAAATTAGGGGAGCTCCAGCAGTTGTATGCAAATACATGTAAGCCTCAGAGGGATTATTGTTGATTTTAAATGAAGCACACCTTGATAAGTTGCTATTTTGAACATAGGAGATCTCTCTCTCTCTCTCTCTCTCTCTCTCTCTCCACATTGCACTCTTTCCCTTCTGATTTTCTTCATACTCCATTGGTTTCCCAAGCTGCCTTCCTCCCATAATAGGGCTATGGACAGATATGATTGCAAACAGGGCTGACTCCAAGTTTGAGTGGGCAGGCACCAGCACTGTAGTGGAACCTGCTGTGGTGCTTGGGCCTCAGATGCTCCATGGAGATGCTGGGCCTGATATTCAATAGTCAAGCTTTGGAACTCTGAGGTAGCAAGGGAAGAGCCTGAAAGTTAACAGCAAGTTGGCAAGGCATGGGTTGCACTCTCATTTCTCTCTCCCACTCTTCAGTTCAAAACTGCAGCTTCCTAAGGATGCTTTCCTCTTTAAACTAGGGCTGAGTACAGAGTAGTACTGGTTTTTCCCCACGTAGTTCACGAACAATCTAGAAGATCTATTGCATATATATTTTTTGCCCATGAAAAGCACATCTTGAGAAAGTAGTTTCATTCTGAAAATGAACACTCATTGCAGATTGTGTCTGTGTTATCCTGCAATGTGTCCATTTGCAAACAGACCTAAGTGATCCTGGTGATGTAGGAGGCATCCAAGATCACATACCAAGATCACAACCGCCACTTCCTTCTTCATTCACCTGGGGCATGTACAGGGTGGGAGAAGCGTGGATTACATATGAACATAAGATCCTTCTGGATCAGACCAATGGTCCATCTAGTCCAGCATCCTGCCAACAGAGCCCAACCAGATGCCTGTGGGAAAACTGTAAGCCCAAGAGCACTCTCTTCTCCTTGGGTCCAGCAAGTGGTATTCAGAAGCCTCTGACTTGGAGGCAGAGCACAGCCATCATGGCCAACAGCCAGTCGATAGCTCTCTCCTCCATGAATTTGTCTAATCCTCCAGTGGGAATGAGTTCCATATTTTTACTATGTGCTGCATGAAGAAGTCCTTTGTTTTCCCTGCCCTGAATCTTCCAACAATCGGCTTCAATGGGTGCCCATGAGCCCTAGCATTATGAGAGAAGGAGAAATGCTTTTCTCTGTCCATTTTCTCCATATCATGCAGAATTTTTTTTTACTTGCCTTTTCTCTAACCTAACCTAACCAAGTGAGGGTTTCTAAAAGTTTTCCAAGTAACCACACCCGCCCCTGCAGGCAGCAAGAACTAGAATCAATCTAGATTGAAAGCAGCATGTTGAGGGTGAACACGAATAATTCCAGGTGGAGAAAAACTACACTTTTGTTATCCAGACAGGTTAGTGTGTATGCAGCCTCCATTTACAATTCTAGTCCAGTTAAGGTGCTTACGTCTGACTTGGCATGTATAGAACAGCTCTGTAAAATACAGCAATGGCAGAGAGGCCTTCTGAATTTAGCCCTACACAGGTAGCCTAATGGCAAATGTTGAGGTTCAAATGAATTCAGGCAAAAGGAACAAGTTAGCCCACCTCATCCACGTAGCAGAGACTCTCAATGGCTTGTACAGAAATGATACTCCTGACATATTTTTGGACATTCACTCTTATTTATTACGCACAATTTCAACCTGTTCTTTCATTTCAGCTATTGGTAGGATTAGGAAATAAAGTTTCAGCTGCTATAAACCTCTCTCTTTTACATTCCCGTTAAGATTTTGTGAGCAAAATGGGGAGGCCATGTTCTTCTTGGAGACACAGCCAGCTCCAGCTGCTCCCACCACCTCCAAAGTAATAAGTTGAAAATGCTTTTTAAAAATAAGTATAAGGCAGCATATGCTGCAAAGCCACTATTTAAAGCTCAGCTCTTCTCATGGTGCAATATATTACGATGCGTCAGTTGCAATAACGCAGCAGAGCAAGTGTGACCGCAGGATCTCCTCAAGGACACAGTTAATGGTTGCGCTCATGAATACATCTCATTGTAAATCACACTCGGTTTTTATGGATAGGCCTCTTGAAAAACTCTCTTGAGCTGAAAATATTTGTCAGGAACAGAGGCTGTCATCAGCTAAATATTCCTATTGAAATCAAACAATACAAGTGTTAGGTTGCACCTTTCAGGTGGTCAAAGTACTTTACAACTTATTATAGAATCATAGGATTGGAAGGAACCCCAAAAGCCATCTAGTCTAATCCTCTGCCAGTGCAGGAGACCTGCTGCCACACCGGCCCTGAGAGGTGGCCATTCTACCTCCACTTAGGAATCTCTAATGAAGGATGACTCACCACCTTCCAAGAAAATCTATTTGACCCTCAAAGCAGAAAGTTCCTCCTAAATCAAAAGGGGTAGTTGAAATCCCCTTTCTTCAGCTCCTACCTTCTGAAGTGGCAGAAACAAATTTCTTTCATCATTTACGAGACATCATCTCCTCTCCAGGCAAAGTACAGTGGTACCTCAGGTTACAGGCACTTCAAGTTACATACGCTTCAGGTTACAGACTCCGCTAACCCAGAAATAGTATCTCGGGTTAAGAACTTTGCTTCAGGATGAGAACAGAAATCTACCAGTGGCGGCGCAGCAGCAGCAGGCCCCATTAGCTAAAGTGGTGCTTCAGGTTAAGAACAGTTTCAGGTTAAGAACGGACCTCTGGAACAAATTAAGTTCTTAACCTGAGGTACCACTGTAATCTGTCAACCTTCAACATTTTCTGTTGGGACCATCTCCAGGTTCTTCACCATTTTTGTTGCCCTGCTCTCGATAGTATTTCCCAGGGCAGACTCACTGAAATTAATGGACATGACCAAGTTATGTCCATTAATTTCTACTTAGTTGAATGCCACCCTGTGTTGTTGTTGCTGCTGCTGCTGTTGCTGTTTATATATGGCTATCACTATACATGACACTTTATAGCATGTCAGATTCAGGAAAGCTTATTTATATCTAGTCAGTTTGTCATACTAAGTAGCTGCTGCCAGAACTATTTTTTTTTTTTTTGCAAGAAAGTAGACACTCTACAATACCATCTATTCAAGAATGGGCTGACAAATTATGGAAATTTGTCATAATGACTCAGCTAAGACATTTTCTCAAATTCAGGGAGCAAAACAAAGACATTACAAATATATGACAGGGTGGATTAATGTTACTGCATATAGCAAAAAGGGGGGAGCTAGTTTCAAAGGCAAGCTATAGCTTCACAACACTTCAGTACTAATAAAGTAAAATATTTAAAAAAACAGGCTGATTACACACAGTATTGTACAGTGGCATCACACTTATAATTAAAAATAAGAAACCAGGGTAATTTATATAGGAAAATCTCATTTGGGAAATGGGATAAAGACAATCAAGCTTCTTCCTCCTCCATTTTTTCTTTTTCTTTTTCTGGGGCAGAAAATTGAAGACCTCTTCTCGTATGCAGATTCGTAATCTCCTTCATGGCAAAAAAAGTTACAGAAGTGGGGTGCTATAAGGTAAGATAAAACTGAAAGGAGTACATACACAGTGAATTAAAGAAAGGAAAACCAGGTCTATAGTTATGCCAGGGGTGCCATCTCATCCTCAGGATTGTGGGTGCCGCTGCCGCAACACAGACGTGCCACATCACATGCACACACCTGTATGTAGTGCGTGGGGCATCACACGCACTACATGCAGGCGTGTACGTGTGACGTCGCATGTCCGTGTTACAACGGTCGGTAGCAGCTCCTCTTCCTCCTCTCCACAGCCAGTGAGGCACCCTTGTCTGTGGGAGGGACTTGGACTTCAGGCAGAGAGACTATACTTCCACATCCAAGCCCCCCCCCCCCGGTGCCTCGCTTGCTGGCTGCAGAGGGTGGAGCTGAACTGCTTCTCTCTTGGAGGCAGCGCTGCTGCCAGCTGTTGGCTTTTTTCATGGACTTTGTGGGTGCACAGTCCCCACAATTATATTATTGTGGGACTTGCCAATCAGAAGATCAGCAGTTCGAATCCCCATGACGGGGTGAGCTCCCGTTGCTCGGTCCCTGCTCCTGCCAACCTAGCAGTTCGAAAGCACGTCAAAGTGCAAGTAGATAAATAGGTACCACTCCAGCGGGAAGGTAAACAGCGTTTCCATGCACTGCTCTGGTTTGCCAGAAGTGGCTTAGTCATGCTGGCCACATGACCTGGAAGCTGTACGCCGGCTCCCTCGGCCAGTAAAGCGAGATGAGCGCTGCAACCCCAGAGTCGGCCATGACTTGACCTAATGACTGGGGTCCCTTTACCTTTTTAAGCACCCACAGCTCCCTGGAGTTGGCTTCTGTGAGTTATGCAATTATTATCCTGTCATTGTCGTTGTCATTTATTCAGGGAAAGCCTTCTTCAACAACAACAAAAAATGTCTTCAAAAGCATGTTCAAAGCACGTTTCCAGGCTCCGTGTGCTGCTCTGTCCAGCCAGTCTGCAACAATGAGGCCAGAGCACTCCTCTGTTCCCAAGCACAGCATATTTATATCACTGTTGGTGCTGCACGTGTAAGTTAGGTAGGCATGTGACACTGCTGGTCTAGCACATCTGTGTCCTTAGGGGAAGCCATCTTGATGTCTCCTGGGGCCCCTGAAAATGACCCCAAAGCCTCAGGGCCAAAATCACAGCCCTGGCAGATAGAAATACAATAATATATTGACAACGGTCTGCGTAAAATCCCTTTCCAAGTAAAAGTGAAAAAGCAAGCAGGTAACTTAGTAGGAAGTTATTGATTACAAGCTTATGAAGTGTATATTGCGGGGGGGGGGATCTTTCTCCCACATACACTCACCCAGGAACACTTGAA